TCAAAGAACAAGTTAAACAATGGGAGAACAAAGATACAAATTATACATTAAGAATAAATATAATCAAATCTTTCATTCTTAGCAGGATAACCCTAACCCTAACCCTAACTTCAGCATTTAGGGATTAATTGGATCGGACTCCCGAATAGAGTAATCTTTAAAATAGTAAACGATTTTAAATATGGAGGTAATATAATGTACAAAAACCTCACACCTGTCGAAGGCAATGAAGTTTTAAAATTAATAAAATTAAACAATTATCGGAGAGCATGAGAGACGTGAGGTGGTTGATATCTGTTAACAGACTTGCGGTCAGAGCTGTGGTCTCATGGAGCTGTTATGTCAAAACTAAAACATGCCCCATGATTAACTGTGAGGAAGACGAGACCTTGCAGCACCTCCTCATGGACTGCTACAGAGCTGAGGAGGTGTGGTCGCTCCTGCGGGGCATTGGTTTAGTATTCAATGTAAGATATGCCTCCATTATGTTTTGTATTCTGGATGAGGGGATGGGCATAAAGCAAAGGGAACTTTTTCAGATGGTAATTTGTATCGCATGCATGAAAACATGGAAGACAAGGTGTAAAATGATACTGAACCAGAGAGTAATATGCTGTAACACCATCGTGAAACAGATACTTACTGAACTAAGGAGAAGAAAGACCCTGGACAAATCCCAGACTCAGCCATGGGGCATCTTGAGTCTGTGACCTAACTGAGCCGCATAAAATAAAACGTGCTCTCCTTATGTTATTTATATATTTATATAAATAACATATATATTTATATAAATAACAGAGGCCCGGTGTACCTGGCCGCTGTGCTGGAGTACCTGACCGCTGAGATCCTGGAGCTAGCTGGAAACGCCGCCCGGGACAACAAGAAGAGCCGCATCATCCCCCGCCACCTGCAGCTCGCCGTCCGCAACGACGAGGAGCTGAACAAGCTGCTGGGAGGAGTGACCATCGCTCAGGGAGGCGTGCTGCCCAACATCCAGGCTGTGCTGCTGCCCAAGAAGACCGAGAAGACCGCCAAGAAGTGAACACCCTGATCCCGCTTCAACAAACAAAGGCTCTTTTAAGAGCCACCCACTTTCAACTAAAGACGTGTCTTCCTCCTTGCCCTATAACTGATAAGTCACCCAACTAAAAACACCCATATATAAGTCACAAATGATTTTAAACATTTAAAAGGTGTATTAAATCATCTAGAAAAATTCTAGATCAATTTCGGGGATCATTAGATTCATAGCTGACAAACTGGTATTTAGAACAGATTCTTAGGCTACATCTTGGATGTCGGTGAAACTTATTATATAGCCAAACTTATATATAATATCAAGAGTTCTATTTATGGATTTTAGGTTTATAATGTCTAATGACTGACATGTGATATTGCCGACAGGAATCAGATTCTTTTTTCTTTTAAGTAATTTGGAAGTGTAGGAAGGCCTTCACACCCAGACCTGACCTGGTTAAAAACACCATGTTAGCATTCCTGCTGGGGGAAATGAAGAAGGACAAGCAGAAAGCAGTGGAAAGGACCGAGAGGAAGAAGAAGGTGGAGGAGAGTCGACACAAAATCCAGCAGGAAATCAGAGACAGAGAGCGATATCTGCAGCAGCTTCAATGGCGGACGGAGGAAATCAGCTGCCGCGCTGATAAAGCTTTGGAGGAAAGTGACCAAGTATTCTCAAGGCTGATCCATACCGTGGAGGGGAGGAAGTCTACTGTGAAAAAGATGGTCGGATCCCAGCGGAAAACTGTAGTGGGACGAGTCAAACATCTTCAGGAGAAACTGGAGGAGGAACTGCATGACCTGAAGACGAAAGACTCTGATATGAATGAGCTCTCCAACACAGAGGATGACAGTGAGTTTGTACAAAACTTCCCCTCGCTGTTAGACTCCAGAGTCAATAACCGCCTGCTGTACTTCAAGGATGTGAAGAGCGCTGTGTCAGACTTCGGAGAAAAAATGCAGCTTGTTCTGAAAGAGAATTTACCAGAAATCTGCTGACCAGAGATTAATTCTTTGAATACTCCCGCCAAATCACGATGGATCCTAACACGGCAGAGAACAGTGTGGTTTATCGAGGGAAACAGGAAAGTCAACGTGACACACAATAAACTGTCTTGCTTCCTTTACCCAGACAAATTCATTTTTAATGTTCAGGTCCTGAGTAAAGAGAGTATGACTGGACGCTGCTACTTTGAGGTGGAGATGGATTGGAAAGAGAGAGCCGTTTATATTGCGCTTTCTTACAAGAGTATCAGCAGAGCGGTCCAATCTGTACATGGATTGAGTTACACATTTTGGACAGGGAGATTTGACAAAAATAGTTTAATGTTTCACTGCCAACATGAAAATGATGTCTGCTGCTCAGTCCTCCAGATTAGGAGTTAATCTGGATCACAGTGAAGGTATCCTGTCCTTCTACAGCGTCTCCGACCAAACCATGACCCTCCTCAGATTCCAGACCAGCTTCACTGAGCCCCTCTACGCTGGAGTTGCACTCGACTCGTACAGAGACAGCGCTGAGATCTGTCAACTGGAAAAACCAAAGTCAGGAAAGCAGATTGTGTCTCTACTGTGACATGTCTCCGTGCTTTAATGTACAAAAAGCTTGTTATCTTTCTCATACTGCCTGTGCTGCAGCACCTCTAGCTGTCCGTCAACCGCTTATAGATGTCCCGCCTTTTTGCCTATCACGTCCAATGTGTTACATAGTGATGTCACTTATGCATGCTACTTTAACATCCTCTCAGGAGTTGTTCTGTAATGTTTTTTGACTGTTGTCAAATCCATGTGTGTCCATCACTGCTCCTGATTTCATGTGTTTGCCTGTAAGATTGACTTTATTCATCTAAATGCGGTTTTTCTTCCCTCCATAGCAGAACGTAAATAAGGCAGAAGAAGTGAGGAGAATTGTAGAAAAATAAAACAAAACAAAAAGTTAAATGTATACATATTGACAGTGAAAGATATATATCTGTGAAATATAAATTATGAAGGGCCAACTCACAGCTAACACAATTTAAACGTAGGATGTTATCGACATTATAAGTGTTAAATGTATATAACACACTGTGGAGAGAATACCGGACTACCCATGATGGATAACATTTATCTGTGGTTCAAATATTCCTTCTGGTGCAGTTTTGTTGTTGTTTCTTGTCATCTGCATGTGTCCAAACAGATAAACACATGCTTTCTTTCTTATATATGTTGCAATCTGTTAGTGTGTAAATAAATCTTTAACAACATTCAGGTTATTCTGTTTGTTCATTCATCATTTTTTATTTACAAAGCTGAGATTCTGGTCATTTAAATGATGTTTCCTGATGTATGTTTGAAGAAGCTTTACATGATGAATAAAACAACAAACTGCAGTCAAAATGTGAAACTAATATGAACGTAATACTTTTACTCTTAAAACAACGGGTTTGCAGAACAGAGATATAAGCAGCTTTTTCAAATTGTGATGATTTTTACAACCCGCATCTTTTTCAACAGGAGTTACAGAGACGGACAAACAAAAAAACAAAGTCAGAAAGGATTTGGAAAAGTTTGTGTGCGAACATAAGACAACATTTGTATTTGTAGTTGTATATTAGAGGCTTTCCATGCAGATTACATTTCCAAATGTCATGTTGCTGCAGCGTTTAGAGTAGAGATTAGTTCTGACCAAGGACATATCAGACATTCACCAAGTTATTCCCAATGTATCGTCATTTGGCAACAGAGAAAATCATTAAAAAACACAATAAAGCTTCCTAAAACTGTGAAGGACTTCCTTTTTTTATCATCACAGGTTCATTGTTCTGCTTATTCTATAACATAATAACATGTGCAGTCTCATTCTGAGTCATTAACACAATAACAACAAAATCAATTAATGAAAATGAAATCACTAAATGAATATACTATATGTTTCTTTACATTTCCTTAATTTTAGTTTCAACATTGTTTTAATTGGACTTAGAGGAATTGTTATCGATAACCTCAATTATTCCATTCCCAAATAACATCTTTCCAACAGTGAGACTCCTTGGGGACGCTGTGGGATTTTTAAATATATTTCAATCTCTCATTATTATTATTTGAAGCTGCTCCATCTAGTGTTGACCTGTCTTCCTGCAGAAAAAACATTCGGGGCAGTCCAAAATATTATTTTACCAACAATGTTGAATTTATTGGCTACACATTACACAGATTATGCACAGCGGGAGCAGCAATAACCGTCAAATAATAATTCAGACAGGGGAGCTCCGCCCCTCCTGCCTGCCGCTAGGGGGTGCTGCAGCGCCCTCAGCACCCCCCTTCCCGCGCCCATGCCTAGGACCAGGTGGAGGTATTATATCTCTTCGCTGGCCTGGGAGCGCCTTGGGATCCCCCAGTCAGAGCTGGTTGATGTGGCCAGGGAAAAGAAAGTTTGGGCTCTCTGCTGGAACTGCTACCCCCGCGACCCGACCTCGTATAAGCGGGAGAAGATGGATGGATGGATGGATGGATCTTTTTATTATTCATTTTACTTCTTGTGTATACACAAATATTTTGTTTTTATTTTATTCTAAAACTGTCACAAAACCCTTTGACAAACTGTTCCCCCCGGATAAATAAAGTGTCTGATTCTGATAAAATAATATATTGCTTTACCAAAATTATTATTAATATATTATTAAAGTGGACCTATCATGCTGTATTTGAATAATATAGTGTAGGACCATACCTATATAAGGCATATTTATACTTTTTATTTTTCAAAATACCAAACAGATCATGCATTTTAGCCATTCCTCATTCCTCTCAATTTAACACTGTCTTTGCATGGGCTGATTCTGTGAGAACGGCACCATCTACAGGCCTGGCATATGTACTACAGTGTCTCCAGCGCTTTCGAACGGCAATGTCCGTGGCTGTCTCCTCCTGATTGGTGGAGTTGGCCCAATAGCCGTAGCGCCACTTCTGTGACGTCATAAAAGTGTTCAAATCTGGATAAGTCTGTATCAGATCCGTTGCAGCCCCTTTTTAAGAGATTTGGGTATGGAGGAAAATAGAGAGGGTTGTGTTTTCTGACACTTGGTGAGTTCCCTGGAACATCAGGGACACATATTCATGTATAAA